AGCAATTGATGTTTCTGCACCCACAGGTTGGTTTTCCCCTCTCCTGGCAGGTCAAGACACACTGCAACCTTTTGCAGATTATACCTTTATCTTTCCAACCCTCAGTCAAACCTCCAGCATCAGTTAATGCTCTCCTACCTCTGCCCACTTACACCAGTTATCACAAACCAAATCCTCAGGGAATGTAGGCTTTGGGTGGATCTCACATCTTGGTAATTGTGTGGTGGCTCTCTTGGTCATCCTGCCGACTCCACCAATTTGGCATCACAGGAAGTGACAACTGCATTTCACTTGGTTCTACTGAGAAGCCATGCAAGAGTTACTGATAATTTAATGATAATTTTTAGCTCAGTCTAACATTATAACAGCACTTAATCATTAAACAGTGAGGAGTTCAGTCATGTGATTTAATGAAATACACGATAATTAAACAGAGGCCTGAGTACAGATTCAGAGATGACAAGATCCAACTCACTAACAGGATACCCTACGTCTATGTACAGATATGGACAGAAAAGGATAGACAGAAATATGTGGATCAAGTAAAGCAACAAAAACCCTTGTGCAACAAATGCATGTAATTAAAGGGCATAAACAAGTAGGGAGGTGGATGTAAGAAGAGTGAGCTGGCCTCTGCTCACGGTTTCCCTCGCCTTGAATGTAGAGCAGGCATTCACCAAGCACTGCCATTCCTCAGCAGAGGACAACTGAGGCTGACTTGAGTGGGAGGACTTTGCCCCGGCTTCCATTGATCGACAGCCCCGAGGATTTGGTCGTCCCTGAGAGGCATCCCGAGCCAGGTTGGGCCAGGTGCTTGTACAGAGCAGCTCCATGGATGGTGCCACCTTCTGCTCCTTACTGCCAGCAGCACAAACGCCAGCACTCGCTGGCCTCACCAATTCCATGCTGCCCCCTTGGCTAGGATCCAGAGGAACGGGTGCACGGCCCCTGAACTCTGAGCAGCAGGGAAATCAGGAGAACAGAATGCAGGCGCTGCTGATTTTGCCCAGTTTGCTTTCAGACTCATTGCACAGTTTCAAGAAAAGTGTCCCCACAGTATAAGAAAGAAAAGGAACAAGGTTGGTTGAAAAGGAATAGGGTTGGTTTTAATTGTTTTTGGTTGTTGTTTGTTTTAAAATACACAATCACACTACGGTGTTACACTGTCAATGATGTCAGACAGTTCCTGAAGGAGCTCGTCCGTATCCTTCTCACTGTCCATGTCAATGTCTCCTAACTCATCTCCAATGATTTCCATCATCAACTTCTCGATGTCATCATCCTCACAGACGAGCGCTTTCCCTGCCTCTGTGCAGCTCAGCTGCTGCATCTGATGTGCTGCTTGCGAGGCACAAGGTACAGCGTCTGCCACGGAGTCTGCCTGGCTTCCTGGAAGCAGTTCCAGACTGGGGAGAACAAGGAAGAGAACAATCAGCACCTGACATTTCTAACTGCAGATACGCTTTCAGCACACCAGTTCTGAGATCACAGAATCACCCGGGTTGGAAGGGACCGCAAGGATCATGTAGTTCCAACCCCCCTGCCTAGCAGGGCCAACAAACATACACATTTAGATCAGGTTGCCCAGGACCCCGTCCAACCTGGCCTTGAACACGTCCAAGGACGGGGCATCCACAACCTCCCTGGGCAGCCCGTTCCAGGGCCTAACCACTCTCCTAGTAAAGAACTTCCCCCTAACATCCAACCTAAATCTTCCCTCCTTCAACTTAAAACCATTTCCCCTAGTCCTGCTGTTGTCAGCCCTTTTGAAGAGTTTACTCCCCTCCTGGGTGTAGGTTCCCTTCAGGTATTGATAGGCTGCAATGAGGTCACCCCGCAGCCTTCTCTTCTCCAGGCTGAACAAGCCCAACTCCCTCAGCCTGTCCTCATAGGGGAGGTGCTCCAGCCCCCTGATCATCTTAGTCGCCCTCCTCTGGACCCTTTCCAAAATCTCAATGTCTTTCTTGTACTGAGGGCTCCACACCTGGACACAGTACTCCAGATGGGGCCTCACAAGAGCCGAGTAGAGAGGGACAATCACCTCCCTGTCCCTGCTGGCCACCCCTCTCCTGATGGAGCCCAGGATCCCATTTGCCTTTCGAGCTGCCAGAGCGCACTGCTGGCTCATGTTCAGTCTCTCGTCCATCAGGACCCCCAGGTCCTTCTCTGCCGAGCTGCTCTCAAGGACCGCTCCTCCCAGCCTGTACAGGTGCCTGGGGTTCTTCCGGCCCAAATGCAAAACCTTGCACTTTGCCGTGTTGAACCTCATTAGGTTCACCCAAGCCCAGCCCTCCAGCCTGTCGAGGTCCCTCTGAATGGCATCCCTTCCTTCCACCATATCAACCGCACCACTCAGCTTGGTGTCGTCAGCAAACTTGCTGAGGGTGCACTCAATTCCCTCATCGATGTCATTAATAAAGATGTTAAAGAGCACCGGTCCCAAGACAGACCTTTGGGGGACACCACTTGTTACCGGCCTCCACCTGGACATAGAGCCATTGACCACCACCCTCTGTCTGCGGCCTTTCAACCAATTGCTTATCCATCGGGTCGTCCACCCATCAAATCCACTTCCCTCCAATTTGGAGATGAGGATGTGGTGGGGGACCATGTCAAAGGCCTTGCTCAGGTCCAGGTAAATGACATCGGTCGCCTTCCCTTCGTCCACCAATGCCGTCACTCCATCATAGAAGGCCACAAGATTAGTTAGGCATGACCTTCCTTTGGTGAAGCCGTGCTGGCTGTCTCGGATCACATGCTCATTCTTTATGTGACCGAGCATGTTGTCCAGGAGGATCTGCTCCATGATCTTCCCAGGCATGGAGGTGAGACTCACCGGCCTGTACTTCCCCAGGTCCTCCCTGCTCCCCTTCTTGTATATGGGAGTGACATGACCCTTCCTCCAGTCGTTCGGGACCTCACCTGACAGCCACGACTTCTCAAATATGATGGAGAGCGGCTCTGCAACCACCTCAGCCAGCTCCTTCAGGACCCTGGGATGCACACCATCTGGCCCCATAGACTTGTATTCATTCAGTCTAAGGAGGCACTCTCGGACTTGCTCTGCCCTTACAGTGGGGAGGGATTTACCTCCTTGGTCCCCACGTAGAGGTTTGGGGATGCAGGGCTCAGGGACGTGAAAAAGACTAGAATCCTGGCCACCAGTGAAGACCGAGGTGAAGAACTCATTCAGCACCTCAGCTTTCTCTTCATCTGTTGAAGCCAGTTCTCCTTTTAAATTTACCAAAGTAGGTACGCCCGTTTTGGCCTGTCTCTTCTGGGCAATGTACCTGTAGAAGGTTTTCTTATTGTTTTTCACGTCCCTTGCCAAGTTCAGTTCTGCCTGCGCCTTGGCTTCCCTGATCCCACGTCTGCAAGTCTGGACGGCATTCCTGTACTCTTCCCAGGTGACACAGCCTTGTTTCCAGAGCTTGTACACCCCTTTCTTCGCCCTCAGTTCTCTCAGCAGGTCCTTGCTGAGCCATGCCGGTTTCCTACCTCGCCTGCCCACTTTCTTATTCAGAGGAATGGAGACCTCTTGTGCTTCCAGGAGGGCATCCTTGAAGAGCCGCCAGCTCTCCTCAACATCCTTGTCTTTGAGGGCAGCGCGCCAGGGGATCTTGGCCAGCAATCCATTGAGCACCTTGAAGTCTGCTCTTCTGAAGTTCAGTGTCCTGGTCCTGCTCTTTGCCAGGCCCACATCGCTTGAGATCACAAACTCAACCAGGGCGTGGTCGCTGGAGCCCAGGCAGCCTCCAACCTTGACGCCTTTGATGATCTCCTCGGCGTTGGTGAGCAGCAGGTCCAGCAACGCTTCACCTCTGGTTGGTCTGTCCAATACCTGAACCAGAAAGCTATCATCAATGGATTCCAAGAGCCTTCTGGAGCTCTTGCAGCTCGCCGTGTGGTTTTCCCAGTAGATGTCCGGATGGTTCAAGTCCCCCACCAGGACAAGAGCTCGTGAGCCAGACATCTCATGCATTTGGAGCAAGAAAGCCTCGTCAACAGCCTCCCCTTGATCTGGTGGTCTGTAGTATACCCCTAACACCAGCTGACCTATATTTGTCCCATCTCTAATCCTAACCCACAGGCTCTCAACCTGTTCCTGACTGTTTCTCGTAGGGAGCTCCTCACAGTTTATCCAATCTCTGACATAGAGAGCAACTCCCCCACCCCTCCTACCTTGCCTATCTCTCCTAAAGAGTCTATAACCGTCAATCTGTGAGATCTGTGGTTAACCCCTCCCACACCTCACGCTCGCATAGGGATGGCGATTCAGTTAACCTGAGACTGCCTTTAGAGTGCAAGATACCAGCAGGCACCTTTCTCACAGTGGGAATTGATGTGTACAGATCGAGCAGTTTGAGTCCAGCCAACAGGGGCCAGGTTTTGTAGCAGAAGCACACTGCCAGCCTCATTATTTGACTGTAAATGCGTGAAGAAGTCATCCTCTGCATAAAGCTGTTTACTGGCTGAGTTCCTTCTCCCCATGACATACTCAGAAGAGATTCTGAGTGAGCAATTTAAGTTATTGCAGATGACCTCTTTGTTTGTTGGATTATGCCACGGCACATCTCAAACACCCCATTTGTCCCCTGGTGTGAAAGAACTTATGTCCAATGTAAAAATGACTTCACTGACAAAGAATAAGTTGTGGTCATCACCTGCTCGGAGGTGTTTTAACTGCAGCAATGGTCACCAGGCTGTCCCCAGGTAGGGCTGGAACGATGGCCTAGGAAGGAACAAGACAATGTGTATGAAGCACGGCTCAGAGCTTCCTAAGTAGCTTCTTTTCCCAGAGAAGCTGTGGATGCCCCATCCCTGCAGGCATTCAAGGCCAGGCTGGATGGGTTTCAGGCTGTCAGATCTCATGGCTGGCAGCCCTGGCCACAGCAGGACAGCTGGAACACTGGATGATCTTTGAGGACTGCTCCTCCCTCCCCTGGGCACTGCTGAGCCTGAACCCAAATACAGAAGCACGGGGCTCCCTGAAGAAAGCGTTCTCTTGAAGGTTACAATGACCTTGGGTGCTTTTAACAGCACAGCATTCGTGGACAAAATCCTTCACACCACAGAGCAATCTGAGAATTGTAGAATCACAGAGTCTTACATAATCCTTGCTCTACATCTACCCAAAATAGAGGTCTTCCACAAGTACCCTGTGAGACGTCTGCTGCCTTCAAAGGAAACAGCAGACCTGCATAACACTTGAAACGTCTACCTTGACTTCAAGTGCAGTGTAAACCTTCCGTATGCACTGCTGCTGTTGCTGCTGCTCTTACCATAGGCAGTTTTCGGGCTGGGGGCTCATCGGTGTCCTCAGCAGCAGATGGTTCCATGTCCGCTGCCTTCCGCTTCAGAGTCTGCTTCCTGGGGAAGGTGGATTTCCAATCAGCAGACCTGAGGAACACCTTGCGTCCAGCTGAAGTAAAAGGAAGAGGTTGCTGATAAGGTCTTGCTCTGCCTCAAGAGAAATCCCCATTCTCCTATCATTCCCACAACCCAACCCACAACAAAGCTAAATACCTTTGGCCAGCGGAATTACATTGCCATGCACAGGATTCTCAGCAATGTTTTGCACACAGCCATCTCTACCAACAGCGCATCGAAAGGAACAAAGAAACCCACGAGCTGCACTCAGCAATAGTCCAGGGCAAGGAAAACTATGACACACAACAATGCTGAGTGGCAGCATGATTGTGCTGAGGCACTGCAACAAGCTCCTGGTGCTCACCCCTGACTCTCTTCTTGAGAGGCAACTCGCTTGCTTTGGCCTTCTCCTCACATCGCTTGCGCTTTTGTGCAGGGCCATGGGAGGAAGATGGGATGTCACCTGCAGAGAACAGTCCAGGAGAGAACAATCAGAACGTGTGAGTAGAAAGGCAGCGCCTCAAACCCAGATGCCTGTTCAGTGTCTGTACCTCTCTCTGCTGCCTTCTCAACCTCTGTCTGGCTCTCCAGACTTTCTGCAGGGCCGCTGTTCAGAGGAAGGCTCGTGTCAGCTTCTGGCAGAAACACGACAAGAAATAATTGAAGAGCATCTCTTTGGAGGAAGGTTTCAGCACACCAAGCCACAAGCTTCCCGTATTCAAGCATAGTTTCTTGCGTTTGCCTTTCCCCTGCTCAAACGTTGTGCCATTTCTGCAGTCAGCACAGACCTGCAATGCATTTACCCCTCTCCAGAAAACACCCACCCCTATTCTGACAGCCAAAACACAAACCAATATTTCACTTATCACCACTCTTCCCTGCACTCCCCAATGAATGTTACCTGACATCCTGCACCCGCTCAGAAGTAATAGTCATAATTAAGTCTTTCGTGCTTCATGCCATCAGGAACTCACCGTCACTTGGTGGTACAGTCAGTCCATTCCCACTGCGTTCCTTCAAGTGAAGGAAAGGGCAGTGGGCCTTCTGACAGCCTCCCGGCTGATTCTCCCAATAGCAGGGAATCTCACTGCGCTTCTTCTGAAGAGAGAAAGAAAGGAAGGGTCATGGAAACAGGCAGAGGAGGTTTGCAGAGAGATGCAGTGCTGCAGGTCGTGCCAGAGAGAAGTGGAGAGCTCATCTTTAGGCAAACACTCACATCAATTTTCGTGTGTCTCAGCCTGCAGTCGCTGCTGGAACAGCGACCCTGCATCCACAGCTTGCAGACCTCTTCACTCCCCAGAGCTGCTTCGCAGTGGCGGAATGGACAGCTGTCTCCCTGCAAGCAGAAGGAAAATAAGGGCACAGCCTGAAACACGTCCGTGCTGTCAGCCCAGGTTGGTAGCAGGGAGCACACAATCCCACCGCTGATGAAGGCAACGCATTGCCAGCAGGTCTCCCCCTGCTTCACCCCTTCCTCTTCAAAGCAGGGAAAGGAAGAAAATCCAGGCAAAAGACACCCAACCATACCTTAAAGCAGACAGAGTTGAAATAGAAGTGGCAGTCGACTCCTTTCCGAGGCATGGGGAACTTCTTGGAGCAAGTCCCTCTCCAAAGGAATTCCCCGCTCTTGGAAAGAGGCGGCTGCACTCTGGGACTGCTTGGACCCAAGATCACCTTTCAGATTGGAACCCTAAGGAAAGAGTCAACAACGGAAGAACCATGAGGAATAAGCATTTTCCCAGCTTTCTTCTTTTATGCTGACTTTCGAGGAGTCTCAGAAGCAGCTGGTTGCAAGAACTCTGCCAAGTCGAGATCCAACTTGTGTCTAACTGCCACGACTTCTCCCAGCAAGCACTGTCCTCCATCTCACCACCAGTTATACACTTAGCAGCACACATTTTGCGTTCCTGACATGAAAATGACCCCCTTCACCTTCTCCTCTTGCTGCAGCTGCAATGGATGCACTGGTACGACTCCCACGTTTGAGAAACCTACAGTTCTGGCTTACCAGGCACAGCTGCAGACCCTCTCCCTTCCAGCTCACACTCCAGCCCAATGGCTGAGCAGCACCGTCAGCGAGAGCGGGCAGCACCCGTCAGCCTCCACCACTCTCACTGCCAGCCGGGACGAGAGCTTACGCAGCGTGTCCACACTGCTGTGCAACGCTCACGGCTGTGGCACTCACTGGTGGCAGCCACGGCCCCAGCACAGTGCTTGTGATGTCACCGTGCTTGTGATGTCACCAGACAGTGCATGTCCCCAGCTGAGCACCCGGCTCTCCACCGTGACTTCAGTGGGGTTTTGTTAAAAATGTGCTGGATACGGCACAGCCAGCGCTCTGTGGGTCATTAAAGCACAAGTTGCACTGCATCAAGTCTGTGCTCTTCTTCCTTTGTCCTGTCTGAGGTGAAGGCTGGGGCCCAGCAGCAGTTTCGTAGTGGCAAAGCTGTGTGGCAATGGGCAGCCACAGCTTGAGGCAGTGATTGAGCACCTGGTGGGAAGGCAGGGCAGCTCAGGTGCACACAAACTCTTCCCAGACATCACTGAAGGGTTGGCAGTGGAGGCAAGGGTGTCTGACTGGAGATCCCTGCTACCTGAGGCCTTCCAAGGCTCAGCAGCTTTTTTCCTTTCTTTCTGTGTCCACAGCTGCTGCACTTGGGCAAATCCTCCCTTGCTGCAGCCTAGGACTTTGCCACCCTGTTGTTACCGCTGCACTTTCCGTGGCACTGCAGCGTTACACAGGGGAGTGACGGCAATTCGTCATCCTCACCCAAACAGGTGACTGAATCTCTCAGAGAATCAATTTCCCCTGGAAACAGCCATTGGGAAGGGCCTCGTTTGAGCTGGCAACTCCTCCCCAGCCCAGCTTTTCTGCTGAGACTCCTTCCAGCCACCACGCAGCACCAAGCCCAGCTCACCTCTTGGTCCAGGTCAGTCCAGGCTGTGCCCAGGTCACACACTTGCCACAGCAATGCTTCTGACGGGCTCTCAAGGATGATCCCTTCCACAAAACGCTCAGAGCTCAGTCTCTGTGTGCAACTCGCTCACTAGAGCACCAGCTCTGCTCGCCACAGAGGGCCAAGCCCTGCCACCCCAGCAACGACTGTGACCTCAGCACGGTTCCGCATCACTCCTGCGCTTTCATTCTAAGCAAAGGAAGCGCACACCTCCTAGATCCAAATTCTAAGAGACCGGCACAAGGGTCACCCAGTGGGGTTATTGGAAGTAAGATAACAGAGAAATTAAGGTGACTCTTGTGCAGCCATCTCGGGTCACCCTCTCACTCAGGCTTTGCACAACTGCACCCAGGAGATGTTGCCTTCGGGCTGCCTCCTGCTTGGAGGCCTGAAGGATTTGATCTTCCAAACAATCAGCAAGCATTTGGATGAGCCAGCCCTCCTGGTTTTTACGCAGACAGACACGTCCTGCTTGGGAAGCCGGCGCGGCGAAGGCACAATAGCTCTGGCCGTGGGCCGCAGCACTCCAGTGCCAGGCGCCGCTCAAACTCCTGGGCTGCATTTCCTCCTGGGCTCCCGCGCACGCTCTGGCTCTCCTGCAGCTTTCTGCAGGTTTTGTGGCTTCCTGCTGGGGAGCTCCTCACGTTCTTCTGCAGCTGTGCCCCGACATCATTACTGCCACCTCTGGTACCGCACCAAGAGATGCCTCAGAGTGCATCAGCCTGGACTTCCTGCTCCCATCAGCAGCTGCTCCCACGCTGACCTTCATTCCTAGTGGGATCCTGGCCACTTCCAGCACGAGCTGCCCTGCAAGGCAGAGAAAGGAAACGTGGGATTAGCACAAACACGGAAGCCCAAGGCTGTGCCACCACCTCCTATTGCAGTCTTGGGGAGTCAGCTGCAACTGCAGTCTTTGTCTGAATAAAAACAGGAACCTTAGATTAAGTGGGACCTCTGAACTGAATAATTGCCACAATCAGAAATAGACACTGAAATTCCTTGCTGGAGTTCAAATTTGAATTCTTGTGCCTTTTGGAAAATATGCACTTGGAATTGAAGGATACAAGAAAAACGGCATCTTCTTCACTGTAGGCGGTAAGGGTTAGAAGTCGGACTCTAACAAGAGGAAGTTTTCCTTTTCCTTGTAAGGCAGAACATTTTCAAGCTCTCCTGCTAACGTGATCATTTTGGGTCATAAAACTTGAGGTGCGTTCCTCTCATTCTGTACTGCAATTTGTTGTCTGTGCCTGCTGACTGACCACTAGCCACTCAGTCATACTGAAGAGCTTTTAGGGTTGGAAAATACCTGACATTTCTCCTGCAGCATCAAGTCTTTTCAGCACATCTATGAATGGGTATTTTTGGAAGCTATGAACAGTCTAATATGTGGAAGAGAACATCTTTTAGCTCTGGAATAGTTTTTGTCTCAGGTCCCTACCTAAAAATATGTAGCAGAGACAATGAAAGAATTAAGATATGTAAAAGAAATATCTAACCTAACTTTCAGCAGTATTTGACTACCTCTGCACAGGAGATCAGTGAGAACAGATTTTCAGTTACTGTAACAGTAATGAAACAGTAAATGCTTCCCTGCTACAGTACAACACCTGACTATATGAACTGGAATTCCAAAAACACAAGTTCTAAGTCCTAAATCCTTCCAGACTCAGATTTCATATAAAGCATTCCTGTTATGGCAATTGTTAAGTCTAATCAAGACAATGTAATACAGATAATCCATTTGAACAGCACAAAACTAAAATATTTGGACAAAGAATCTTTCCATGAAGTACGTCATAAAATGAATGATAATTTCAGATTATCATGGCAGGATGTTTGCAACAGGAAAATGAAAGGCGAGACAACTGATGAACCCTGGAGGGCTATTGTAAAAAGGTGAGACAAACACAGATCAGCATAGCTCTTCAACAGAGACCAGTCACCAAATAAAGATGCCATAAAACAACCTTTCTTTAATAGGATAATCTGCATAGTAAGAAACACAGAAACACGACCATGAAAACAGCGCTGTCTACTGCATTAGAGTGATGTTGCTTGGGCAGACTGAGCCATAAAATGCTCTTGCTGAATAGGAGTAATTTGTCCTAAATCCAGTGACCATTATTACACTGCATCATTAATGCAGTTAATGTCTGTTCTCAGAGCACATTTGTGTAGGCTTAAAATTAGAGATTAATTGCTCATATTATAGATTTCTATTTTTGCAAATCAAAGCTGTTCCAGAGTAAAGACATGCAAAAACGAAAATTGCATTAACTTGTATTCATTTGCAAATAAGTTTTTTTAAAAGAGAAAAAAAGGATCATGTACCCTAACTACCTAATAAGCTAACAATATATGCACTGATTTTTATGGTTTGGTAAAGTTGGTTATTCAAATTTTTCAATACATTTTATTTGATAGCTATATGCACAAATACCACTGTAGCCTAATCTCCATTTAAGAAACACTACTAAGGTTTGCACATGCTTCAAGTATTCTTTCTGAAGCTTTATTACTGAGCTATTCAACGTTTGTATTCCAACGACTGCTTTACAACTATCGTTCTTGCAAGTTTGCATCAGAACAGACTTGGCTCTAAGCTGCTCAGGTCAGCTGGTCACTGCTTTGCAGTTTTGGTACAAAGTCACACAAATAATAGTCTAAAACTGTAACCAGATTGAGTTCTCCTGCAAACTCCCGTCAGTTCTGTTAAAATTAGGTATACAGAATCATAATAACCCAGCCCCTATGCAAGTTCCCAGCACAGAAGGTGAGGCTGCATACAGGACAGGATACTTTGGAGACAGTGGGCTGACCCAGGTGCTAGCTCAAGTTAGAGGTCAGATTCTGCATCTTTTCTTGGTTTATAGGAGAAGGATAAGGCATGAGTTTTGACAGCCTGCCTAGCATAATCGCTTGCTAAATATAGTTCATTACAGTTCTAAGCATCTGCTCCTAATCAGCTGTGAACACCAACATGCCCCTTTATGTTAGGCTCTCTTTAGGGTATTTAAGCCTATAAAAATAAAATAAAACAAAAGGCCTTCAAATCACAGATACTTCTTCCTACAATGAGAAACACACTGAAATGCTGAGGAAAGTTCCAAAATTCCAGTTCCAAAACCTACCACTACCAGTTATCAATACTCAGCTTCACATTTTTGCCTTCAATCCCTTTGGCAGATTTTCAGAGAGAAAAGTGATTTTCAACTCATTTCCTGCAGGACTATGCTGTAACATTACTTGGTCATAATATTACAGAATACTTCTGCAAATACAAACTGCAGAGAAAGACTGGAGATTGTACACTCACAACACAAGGCATTTAATGGGTCTTCTCATCCTTTCATTGTCCCTGGAGTATAGGGACTTACTGTCTCCTCTGACCTCCTTTCTTTTACTTATATCCTTGTGTATTCTTCTTTCTCTGTCACCCCCTTCCTTCTGTTTGTTATTGGATGCATCTCACTTACCTGAATTTCCTTGACTTTGTGGTGGGCAGATAGTCCGCATCTGGAAGAGAGTGAAAAACATGTGAGGGATGTTGTTCTCCAGGCTCCTTATTTAACATTTAGCTCACCTAGCAAGTTCTCTGAAAAAGATGTCTTCTTCACTAGAAAAAAAAAATACAGAGAGTGCTGATTCTCCCAGTTAAATTTAATTTCTTGTAATATACTGCTTATGCATCCAATTCCTCGCAACATTTGATGGAAGCTTGAAATTGAATTCCTTCAGCTTATTGAACAAAACCCCTACCAACCCAAGATTTTTTAACCTAGTCAGGTGTTTGTTTTGAGCTGCTCTGGACTTACAGTCTCTCTCATTTGTTTTCACAAAAGCATCTGCACTGGTTTAAGTGGAATTTATTAAACCTCTGCACTAGAAACACAGTAAGCATGTAACACATGGGAAATGGACTTGCTCTCTAGCTTTCTCACTCATTCCTAATCAAGATTTTCCATTAAAATAGCATGCAGCCACATATGTTCACAAAAACACTTTTACTACACAGGCCTTGAACAACAGTACATACCCCACTATTAATGCTTTTGGTAGAGGAACACTCAGACATCTTTTGGAATACCTGTCACTGACATGATAACAATTTACCTCAGTTAGCTTGTTTATTATGGAAAGCATTTCAAGCATCAAAAGCAACGCCCTGGAAAAGAAAATGCGTGGCAAGCTGGGGAGTATGGCCCTGCAGCAAGTCATTGAGACAGCCACATCCATTAGGCAGACACAGAATTATCTTGTGTCTGATGCAGATGGATTGAAAACTAGTGTCCTGTAGCCCCTGGGGCAGGTTTCCAGCAAGGAGGAATCATCGAGTCTGGAAAAGACCACTGTCTCCTCGATAAAATTCTTCCTAGTATACAATTTAAACTTCCCACGGTGCAACCTGAGGCTGCTGCCTTGCATCCTAACACTTCTGAAGAAACAGAGATTAGCTGCCTCCTCATTGCAGCTTCCTGTCAATTAACTAGAGAGCAAGGAAGTCTCAGCCTCCTTTTCTCCAGACTAAACAGCCCCAGTTCCTCAGTACCTCCTTGTTTTCAGACCCTTCACCAGCTTTGTTGCTCTTCTCTGCACACACAAGAGCAATATAACATACTTCTTGAAGCGAGGGGCCCAAAACTAAACCGTATTTCTAAGAGCAGTTCCTCTGGCTGGACTAAATCAATAGCAACACAGGGAAACGGTAGCTAGACATAGCTGCTCCATTTCTTTCATTCTTTGAAACCCAAGCAAGAATTTCACTGAAGCATCACGAAGAATTCCGTCTCATTACAAGACATAAAATGGTGTCTGCATTTTGGATTCCTGGTAATGGCAGCCACGCCATTTTCTCCGAGCACTGGAGGGCACTGCAGCATCAGGAAGGAGCGTGCTTCTGTTGGACCTTCCAGAAAATAATGAATGTTTGCAAATATGAGGCGGGGTTGGGGGGATCTGGAGGCAGCAGAGCACTGATCATTCATTACCGCGTGGCTCGGTCCACCTCCAGCTGGAAGGGTTACAGCTTTATACAGCCCTGTGAATGTCTCAGCAAACCTCTATGTAGGCAGGCTCTGTAGCAGCAGATCTGTGCTCAGTGCTTCCTTGTAAGTGCATACATTCCCCCTGTATAAGCTTGGGTTTTTTTTTCTTCTTCTTTTTTTCTTTTTTAATGTTTTACAGTATGGTTGAAACACATCAGTAGCCCTACCCGCTCAAAATACTGCATCCAGGTAGGCTGGCAAAGGGGTCCCCATTTTCAGTCAGTCCACAATAAACAGCTCATTAAGTTATTTTTTGCTTAGCTCAGTAATGATTTCCTTACACCAAACCAACCAACCAGAAACCCCCTGCAATCACACTACTTTTTTTTCCCCCTCCTGAAGCCAGGTCTTTCAGCTCTGTACGAGCAGCTCCATCTCCCTACAGTGAAAAGGGAGGACTCTCACTAGGGGAGGATCCGCTTTAAGAAACAAGAAAAGAAAGAGAAACCAAGAAAAGCTTATCTGTAGTAGAAATGGAATAACATAAAATCATCTTAAATGTCCCTTTTTAAGAGAGATTCTTGCTGTGATTCTCACAACCAAATCAGTAAGAGCGCAGCAGATGAGATGGTATTCCTACATTTGCAGTCAGAACATGTATCAAAAAATAGCTTTCTTTTTCTTCCTCTTTTGATTTTCTTCCCACTCGTACCATTTACCCTTCCTTGCATCAACAGTCTCTGATTGTCTTCTACTCAGGCACTTTAATATATTGCTATTCTGTCATTTTCCATGTTACTACACCAAGTCTTGTTATATCTTTTCCCCTTTGCACTACAGTTCTGTTCCTTCATCCTCCATTTTGCTGGGGGTGTTTAAAACCCCCATCCTTTTGCTTGCTATCATTTTTCACCATCTCACCTATTCCTAATCCTACAACTACATCAAGACATGTCTTTTGATTTCACCTTTATGCCTTCCACCACCCCTTTTTTCAAGGTCAGACACACCTTCCTTTGTTTAGGAGATGCTTGGCTGCAGCCCTCCCCTGGTAACTCAGTGCTAAGAGCTCTCATCAGTTAATTGGGAAAGGATAGCTGAGAGTGAGAGAAGTCATAATCACTGAGAGGTGCTTGGGACCGTGGGGCAAAGCAGAATGCAATGCTAATACGAGGAGCAGGCAGACAGACCTTCCAGGGTGTCTGCAAAATTTCTTCCGAACGCTCATTTTACCCAACGATCAGGTTTTAACTTCTAGGTTGCAATGACCTCAGGGCATGCACAGCCCTGATTCTGGTCTGTCCCAGGGTGGAAAGCAGTGATTTTGCTGAGCAGAAGGTTTTGCCACCTTGTAAGAAAAACTAATGGCAAGTACAATTACTGACAGCAGACAGCACTAGCCCCCAGAGCCTGGAACAAGGTATCTGGAAAAAAGTGCAGTTGTCTTATAACCCTATGATCCCACTCATGCTGGTCTGCATACCAAGTTAAGAAAGCAGCTACGTGTGCTTTACACTTGTGGCAAAGACCAAAGCAAATTCTTGCTGTGAATCTAAAACACATCCAGTGCCAGGTCTCAGCAATATAAGCTATTTAGGCAGAACTGAATGTGTTAAAAAAAAATAAAATAAAATAAAAAAGAAAAAAAAAAAAAAAAGCAGAGTCGCCATTTTGATTCAGTAGTATTTATGTCAATATGAACTAAAATTTTGTATTTGAAGCCTTGTGAAATTATTTATTAAGATAAGTAAATACCAAAATACCAGAAGGAAATCTCTGTTAGGAGAGGGAAATGAATACTTTCATTTCCTTTTTTTCACCATAGACCTAAGTTACTTCCAAATGACAAAAATGTACTCAAGCTTATAAAATCTAAATAAAAATAGATTTCTTGCTGTCTGTCTGCTAACGTCTGAGCTAATCAGTGATGGGAGGGGAGAAGAGAGGAAAAAAGCCAGAGCTATTTTTGCACTTGGAATCGCAGGCTCTGTCTTGTGATAACATTACGTTGGAACCATTCACTCATTGCCCAAACTTGTTTGGACTAAAAAGGTCAACTAAAGGCACAGAAGACAGATTTCCTCATACTGAAGAGATGTAGCATCAGGAAAATGTAAAGTTCTGCTCAGATAAAATAGTCTTCAAGACGACGGCATATCTGCACAGAGGACTAGAAAATGAAAAACTTGTTGTGACAGAACTTTGATATGAAATTATGAAGCTTTTCACGCTCTAACTTGTTTGATTGCGCAGAGGCCAAAGATGACCTATGCCATCCCTCTTCCAGCTAGGGTGAATAACACTGCAGGGCACAGAGCAGACAGGAGATAACACCCTTCAGAGTCTGTAGCACTCCTCGCATGTAAACACGACAAGATAGCCTCGCTTCCACCTCTGAAATGCACTGCAGTAAATGCAGCTTGACAGTGCAAGGTTTCCCTTCAGAGCAAGGCAATCCTATGAACCAGAGACCAAGCTGCAGACTGTTTCTGTAGATGTTTGCTCAATCACTATGGCACGGACTCATTTCCTGCCTAGGGAATAATGTAATGTCCACGTGCTATAAGGCAGTTCTCTGTATGCCAGGTTTCTAAGGTAATGAAAAATTATCCAGGTGACTAAGGCACTTCAAAATGGTGTCTTCAGTCTCATTAAGGTGTAAGATTATTCAACCAACTCATTTTGACTCTCTGGTTCAGGAGCTGGTTTATTTGGTTTGTCTAGAGACATTACGGTGGATCCAAAGCAAGTTTCCAATTTGAAATGAATGCCCATATATGTGAAATATTTCTAATTGTCTCCAACTTGAAGTGTTAATACTGCAGATAGCATAACAAGCTGATCTGATTATGCCTTAACATTATTCAGCAAGGGAAATGAATTCTCTCAATGTTGCTAGGCTACAAGCCTTATTTACAGATAGAAGCTTTCAGGGCAGAGAGATCCAAAAAGCTTCAAGAGCAGATGTAGGAAGGAGAAATCATAAATGCCACTGATGATGCATGAGAATTAACTTCAATTTGTTTTGTACTTTGGAATCCCAGTGAGAGAGTGGTTAAGCAGCATACACCTCAGCATTTAAATAACCTATTGTGCTGCAAGCAATTCAGAGTCTAAGAAAGCAGAGAGCAAAAGGAACAGTAACTGGAATGACACAGAAGTTAAGCCTGTCCACAGATACAGTTTTGCTTTTTTTCCTCTCCAATTTTAGAAGCCAGCAGTTGTATAGATAACCAATAACATACAATCATATACCAATAACAAGAGCAGAAAAGGGCATCTGTGGAAGATACTATTAAGAGGAAGATCTGCTTTCAATACACAGTTAGTTGGACTAGCTTAATGAAAGCGATCCATTTTACTTGAACTTTGTTTTCATTATTTCAGTTGAACAACAGAACTTGGGCACTTTCGGGTATTGACAAAATGACAGAAATAGGAAGGGACCTTGAAAGGTTTCCTGCTGGACCAGGAACACCTAAATCCAGGCAGATTTTGAATGTCTCTAGAGGAGGAGATCCCACAGGCTCT